ATGCCAGGAGCTACTAGTAGCGTCCTTGCTCCTAGTAGCGATGCCCTGAGCTACTGGCAGCGTCCTTGCTCCTAGTAGCGATGCCAGGCCCTAGTAGCGTCCGTTGCTTCTAGTAATAGTAGAACACTCAAGTAGCTCAAGTTAAGCGACTTGCATGTGCATTTGTGGAGTTGTCGGTTGTTTGCCAATTGCCGGTTTGCTCAGAACATCACGCTCACGCACGCACTCCAATGCCAGGAAGCTGGCGGCTCACTTCCGACCTTTGTTTCTGGAGCCTCTTTGGGTGGTGGCCTGGCTGTTTGCCTGTGCTTGAAGCAGCCCAAGTTCTTTCAAGGTGGGCGAGGGACAAATCTGGGGCGATGCTGGACCCTGTGATATGTTGTGTTGCTGCGTTGCTCGGTCGGTGTTGACAGGTGCCATTCTCTTATGCCCCATGCTTACCGTCAGTGATGAGCTGAAACCGCCGTGGATTGTTCAGCAAGTCTTCAAGAGGATTATTGCGCCCCTCATTCCCTTATGGCCAATCACGCCCGTTAAAGAAGCTCGTTGCACATTGGAGGCTGAGATCAATTTCTTCAAGAGCCCAAGTAGATTTTCGCCACATGTGCAACAGTTTGCTTTTCTCATTGCTTTTGCAAGGGTACGGTGGCATTTGTGTGGGTAGCAGCTTTCAGCGTGCGGCTACCAAGACACCCAAAGCCATCAATCATTTTGGACCACGGAGGTAAGTCCAAACATGTCCAAACATTCGCAAACCAGCTGAGGAGCTGTCAGCATATGACTTCCGTGAATCACATCACGGAGAGCAGCTGCTGAAAGAGAATCCTCTTTCAATGACCCTTGGGGCAGCAGATGTTTGACCAAGGCCGGTCTTTTGCCGGTTTCCCCTGGTCCGGAGGAAAAAACATATGGTGTCTGGGCTTTTCGGCGGGTTTCCCCAGTTCCGGAACCCAGTTCAATTGACAATTCTTCAAAGGCGCTTTGTGTGGTATTTATTGGAAAAAAGATGCCGTCAACGGCGTATGGCCCTAAGGATGGGGCTCGCGCCGCGGCTTGGGACAGGCGCGGCGGCCTAAAAGAGAGAGAGAGAGAGAGACCTCGAATCATATGGCGTCCTTGCTACTAGTTACTAGTAGCAATGCCCGGGTTCCTAGTAGCGATGCCAGGCTTCTTGCTCCTCCTAGTAGCGATGCCCTTGTTACTAGTAGCTTCGTGTTACTAGTAGTAATGCCAGGAGCTACTAGTAGCGTCCTGCATAGAGCATGGATGATAAGTACATGAAAAATGTTTTAAACATCTTAAATGACGAGACGGAACGGAGAAGACCCTCCCAACTAAAGGTGGATTTCATGCTCACAGCTTGCACTTCTGCCACAGTGCCCAGAGTGCTGCAGATTGTGCAGATACAGTCTCGTCCGGCCTGTATGAGGTCGAGAATTTGGTTTTACCTACCCAGATTGGCTCGACGAACACTTGTCTGAAATGCGGACTCCTTTTATCATCATGCACGGGAATGCCGACAAAATCACGGACCCTGAAACTTCCAAGAGGCTTTACAAGGAGTCCACGACAGTGGACAAAACACTAAAGCCGCTCTTCTAAGTTCAGATGTGTGAAAATTAAGGCTTGCTGTTTGCCGTCGACAGCCGTGCGTCACCTTGTGTGGACTCAGGCTCTACGATGGCGTGTACCACGCTGAGCTGCTGTTCTGCCTGCCAGGTTCCTTTAAGGGAATCGAATGGACTGCAGAGGAGGTCAAAGCCACTACGACGTGTATGGAAGATGGAGCAGCATGGATGGCTGAGAGATGTTGACATATGTTGACAATTCTGAATGTCTCAACCTTTTTCACTTAAGACTTGAGTGCCTGGGCAAATGCCCGGGTTCAGCTGGCGTGATCAGTTGGGGCTTGAGTTTGAAGACTGGCCGCCAATTCGACATGACATGCCACTGGCACTGCCCAAGGCGTCAGTTTTAATTAACGCCGATTTTTCATGGTGTGGTTTATGCGGATGTGGGGCGTTTTCAAAAAGATCGTAAGTCACCCGTTCCAAGGAGTCAGGGGTTCAGGAGAGAACCACTCTAGCAACAGCTGCCGGCAGCCTCGCAGCTACGCCATGCGCCCAAAATATCTAGATGCGACTTATATAAGTGCATATAAGTGCCTATCTTCATCGAGACACCTACAGTTTGCTGTACCTCAGCAGTGCAATATGTTTTTGCAGTTCCGACCCGAGGAACTCAATGAAGCGTGTCCTGGGCAGATTTGGTGAGTGGATTTCAGTAGTGACTCAGTAGTGTGGTGTTCTCACAAGAGGACACCCTGCCGAGTTGCTTCAAGATGGACGTGAGGAAAGGGTTGTGAGAGCTGAAGCTCTCCGTCCCTCCAATCGCAATCACTGAGGGAGTGGAAGCTTCAGAGCTTGACTGTCAAGCTGAACATTGCTGAAGAAGAGACCCGCCACGCTCGAGGACTGAGACGATCTCAGACGACCAGTCCACGTCAAACATGAACTGTTTGAACCTGTGATTCATTGATAATATATTTATATATATATTTCTTTAATAATATAGTATAACGGTGTTTAGTATATATATATATAGATGTATATACATGTATATAGTGTATATATATATATATATTAGTATATTGTATATATATATATTGATATTCATTGCTCAAATAGCACGTGACTTGTTCAAGACAAAGCAGCCATTGCTCCAACTCAAGCGGCCATTGCGAAATGTTCAGGAAGGTAATGGTAGCCATCAGTCGAGAAATGTTTAGGCACCACCTCCGTAGCTCGCTGCGGAGACCTAGACCAATTGGCAGTTCCCTAGGTTGCACAGGCTTTCCCACCTTTCCATGCCATGGCGGCTCCCTCTCCTGGCAGTGTCAAGCGCGGAAGCAGTTTCTCTTCAATGCGCAGGTTCACTCCGGAGATGTTTGCCCAACATCACAGGATTCACAGGTCTCAAACTGCCTCAAACACATCCAAAATTTGAGCATAGATTCAAGTGTGCATATGTAGTATATATATATATTATTTGCTAGTTTATTTACCTATTTACAGTAAATCGCCGAAGACGCCGCCCTCCCGAACAGGCGGTCTTCCAGAGGCAGGGCTTCCTGAAGAGTTCTTCCAGCAATATGAGACGTGGCATGCGGCCTATTTGCGGGACTTTTGGCCAAAAGCATCAGAACTTTCCATCACGCAATTGACATTCACCCACGACAAGACTTTACGATTGAAGGTGCAGGGGTATGATACGGTATGATTAATCAGAGAAAAGAACCCTCCAATGACCTCTTCCTCTTCAGGTCTTCAAGCTAGCGTGGATAACCACTTTGGTGTCATCATTGTTGCACTCCAGGTGGACAGTGTCCGATGTGTATTCCTCATGCCACTTAATTACTTGAGGACAGCCTGGCCAGATCCCGTGAATTCTTGCTGCATGGCCGCAAAAGCTTGGGACTCATGGCGCCCCAAACAGTTTCCCGCATTGCTGATATAGTATCCATTCCAAGGCATGGCATCTATGAGCCCAAAATCCTTCCCAAGCTGGAGGTGCCGGGCCGGGCCGATCAAATCCCCAGCTCGGGAGTGAGGGAATGGGTCTTGAGATGTCGGGAATCGTATTTTGGAGAAAACTCATTCCTTCATACTTCAGTTTGTCATATTTTGCATACGAAACGTTGCTGAATGCTGTTTTGTTCCGCTGCTAGGAGAACCTGCAGCTTTGCCCCTTGCCGCTGTTGCAGATCATGATGGATTCTGTGCTGGCCTCGTCTGTGGACTACTCTGTTGAAGATGGACAAGGCAAGCCTCACTACTGGATACTAATGGGGCGTTGAGGAGAACGCTTCAATCTTCAGACTTATATAAAACTGCTGGAGCAACACCCAGTCACCAGTCACAAGCGTGAATGTAAATCAGTGCAAATTGTTGTCGGAATGCCGCTATATTGAACCTCTTGAAGACTTGGAGCTTCTCGGTTTCTTCGGGTCGTTTTATGCATACGTCTGTGCAAAATCAATATGCGCTGATCCACACTCATGCACTCTTTCATGAGAGGACTTTTTGAGCTTGCGACCAAACTGGCAGAACAGCTGGAGGAGGCAGGCCTTCAAGATGTTTCAGAGCTGCGTGCTGAATGGGCCAATGACACCATCTACACCTATCCTTTGCTTTTTGGAAGTCGCCACCACGATTGCCACGGCTTTGCTCTGAAGATCTACGTGGCATGGCTCATGTCGGTGGGAAACAACAACAGTCAATTAGTGATTTAATTTTGCAGCAAAAGACAGGATAATATGCACCACAAAACGAGCAATGTTTGCATTGTTTGTTGGACTGTGACTTTAAGAATGACCATTATGGAAACATATGGTCGAAGGATATGGAAGGATCTCACTAACATTCACTAACAATTTAAACCCAAATCGAGACGAGCCGTCGGCCGTCAGCGCGGTGGTGAGGTCTATGAAGTTCCAGCACCGCTCACAGAGAAGCAATTGGACTGTGCCCTGGGCCAATGGGGAACAGAAGTGTTGTTCCATCGCTACCTACTAAGCTCATCCTGCCGGACATTGGAACCAGAGGAGGCGGACTTCTTTTTGGTGCCTGTCTACAGCACCTGCCTATTTACCAAGGAGAGGCTGTGAGAGAGCAACAAGGTTATCCAATTTGTCATGAGCTCAACACTGTTCCAGCCCACTCACTGTGTCGGAAAGCAGGTTTTGGTGTTTGTAGCAGTGTTTTGAACGCACAAATCGCGCTGGGCGAAGGAGAATTTGGAAAATGATGAAGCTGCAGCAACTGTAATTTGGGATCCGCTCTTGAAATACTTGTTTTCGCAGCCTTATTTCACGAGACGGAAGCAGATGGACCACATCTTCATTTTTGCTGATGGCCAATCTGCTCGTGTTTGGGATTCGTACGATTTAGTGCAGAGCAACGCAATTTTCATGATGGTGGAGTGGCTTGGGCATTAGCTGACTTCTAGACCAGGAGCTTTCAATCCCCAGAAGGAGTTTTTGATTCCGGCTTCAGGACCACGCGCGCACACACACACTTATGATTATGCGTACTGAACTGAAAGCGGTGCCACACGCCGGCCTAGGTTACCAATTCCCAAGGTTACAGGTAAGGAGACCTGAAAAGGAAGTGGAGGTCCATCGAGTTCAAGTTCAGCGTGGCCATCAAATGTAGAGAGACCATCGAATGATCGATCGACAGAATGACGTCGTCCGCTCACAGCTGCAAATCGAAACCAAAGCCCTATGCGTGACTGCTGATGCATTAGCACTTTACCAAAGATTTAAAACTTGCGGGTACGCCGAGTTGATCAGACTCGGTATCCCGTGATTGTGGTAGCTTCGTTGAGTGCGGTCCCACAATCACGCCGCACTCCCCTGCTATAAGCAAAAAGCAAAAAGGACAAACAGCACAATCCAAGTGGATCCCTGTGATTCAAGGGGCACACACACACACGCCTCCCGGAGGGGAGGCAAAAAATTAAGGCTAGGACGAATGTGCAAATGCGCGCGCAGCAAAGACAAAAAAAGGATGAGGACATGAGAAGGAGGACGAGACGGGACAAAAGTGTGTGTGGTTGCGATGAAAGAGAAACCAAGTGCACAGGGACAACCGATGAACCCCACCTCATTGTCGAGACCTCGGCGACCTAAAACCTGGATAAGTAGATGTGCACGTACACACTAAGGACAGGACCGATGTACACGCAAACAAAGGAAAGGATGAGATGACAAAACATGAAGACAGGAGGACATGAAAGAAAAGAAGAAAACAGAAGTGTGTGAAGGGGAAAGGATGAAAGGGGAACCAAATGGAGGGGACGAGAACAGATGAAACCAAACCTCACTAGAAGCACCTAGGGACCTCGCCTCGCTTGAATGTATGCGTTGTGTGTGCACCTAAGAGTGGGACAGGTTCCAACGAACCTCAAAAAAGCTTTGGTCGCTCTGACCACGTTGAGGCGTTAAGCCAGCTTGGACTGGTGGTCAGGCTTTCCTTATGGAGGAGGACGCGGCTATCCCAAACGCAAAGGCAAAGGTTTCGGTCGTGGTGGCAAGTCGAAAGGAAAACAGAAAGGCAAAAAAGGTGGAAAGAGCAAAGGCAAGCAGAAAGGGAAGAATGGTGGAAAGAAAGGTGACAACATTGGTCAAAACCAATGTCGAAGTTGCTTTGGATATGGTCATTGGAGTCGAGATTGTCCCCAACGTGCTCAACAAGTCACGAACAGCAACCTCAACAGTAGCTACAACAAAGACAGACTTCAGGGACAACAAGTGTTGCTAGTGGCGGTGCTTCAACGGCTTCAACATTGAATACAGCTGTTCGTTGCATTTTCCACATTAGTCCACCATCTTCGATCGCAGGTAGCTTGGACAGTTCTGCGAGAGTGATCTTTCAAGATCTTTCAGAGGATTGTGCAGCGGAGACATGTCACAGTGTTGCGATTTTGGACAGTGGTTGAGACGTTTCCTTGCTACCGCCCAGCTACGCTTCAGAGGCCGGTCATTCCAATGTCAGACTACAAGATTGCCAAGGATCCCAGTTGAAAACTGTTGGCTCACAGGAAGCAACACTTATTGCCCATGATTCCAACACCGGAGAAGAGATTGGCGTCAGGCACCACTTTGTTGTTGGAAATGCGATCAATCGCATATTGTCATTGGGAGAGTTGTGCAAATCAGGTTGGACGATTGAGCAGAGCGGTCCCAATCCAATGCTGGCATCACCAGATCAGCAAGCTCGAATTCCAGTGGTGTTCCAACGCCATTCATTCGTAAAAGAGGCAAGCGTCTGTCGTGTCTTCGAGGTAACGTGTGAGGTGAGGGCAGCGATTCGATTAAGCCCTACCCATGTGTCAGACATGCCCCATGGAAGTTGGCACGTGAGCAACAATCGCCTGCAGGACAACTATGAATCAGAAAATTGCGGACCCATGAAGGCTGGCAAATTGTGGATGTGAAGCGTCGCAGCGATTTCTCGAGAAAGCAGAGGCTGAGCCGGAAAATGAGATGGTTGAAGTTGAGCAAGAGGGTGCAGAGGAAGTTGGACAAGACATTCCGGAGTTTCCAACCATGTCACCGTCGTTTGTGCCAGGCGGCCAGGCGGACCAGAAGACGCATTGTTCATTGGAGAAATGCAGCTTACAGAGTGTTCAAGTGTGAAAGACTTACTTCAGGTTCTAAGTGAAAACCGTCCAATCGCATCAGAGATTCCTATGAGATGGCTTTGAAGAGACGAGCGTTGGAAGTTGCCAGGCAAGACTATGCCCGGTTGAACCCAGAGCCAAGGTTTGTGGACGCGCCAGCGCAGCCAAGTGAGAGAGAGAGAGAGCACAAGCTGCATGAAGTCACACATTTGCCATACAAGAAATGGTGTTCATTTTGCGTGATGGGCAAGAGTAGAGCCAATATGAAGTATGCAAGTGACATGCAAGTGACCCAATTGACATTGCTGACAGGACCCATCCGACGATACAGGTTGATCTTTTCTACCAGACAGCTGGCACTTGTTTGCCTTTGCGTGTGGACACAAGGAGCAAGTACCTTTACATCGAGCCGCTCAAGAACAAGAACAAGAACCAAGGTGTGATAGGTGAGGCAATTGCTGAATTTCTGGCAGGCGTAGGTCATGCTGAGACAGTCGAGATTGCCTTTGACAACGGGCCAGTATTGTCAGCAAGCGCAAGAATGGCCAAGCTGATTAGGTCGAAGAATTGGCTGCGCGCAACCCTTCAGCCCGGGAAGTTCTATGAGAAATCGAGGACAGCGTTGGCCGAATGCACAAGGTAAAACACTGATTTCGCATTTGCAAGACAGAGCAAGAGTGGTCTTGGATGAGTTGCATGTGGTACAGGCTTGGTCGACGGTCCATGCGTGCTGGTTGTTGAACCGGTATCACGTGACAAGTGACAAGTGCAACTGGCACGACAGCATATCTTTCTGTGAAAGGAAGACCCTATAAGGGATGTGTTTGCTGCTCTGGAGAAGTGTTCACGGACTTGATCCCTTGCAAGCAAAGTACAAGTCACAGTGGAGACCCGGAGCATGGCTTGGCAAGGATGCCATGGATCATGACCTCGTTCTGGTTGGGACGAATGAGATTGTGCGCTGCAAAGCTGTGAGAAAGACGGGAGAACATTGGGATGGCGAGTTGTTGGTTAGAGCAAGTGTTGGCCCTTGGGACATGAAGCGAGGTGTCCATACCACCCAGATGGAGACAAAGCTGACCAACGTGCCAGGTCCAGAGTTGCTTCAGATGTTCTGGAGAAGCGCAAGAAGACTGCCAAGACAGATGTCAATATAGATGCTGAGGACTTGATGAAGTATGCAGCTGAACATCCGGATGAAGATCAGGATGTTGGTGAGCCCAGAGATTCAGAGATTGGCGGGGCCGCCGGGCCACCATTGAACAACGAGCAACTGCAGATACAACGGCAGCTGCAGAAGCACAACAACAAGCAACAGCAGAAGCATCAGCAGAAGCGACAGCAGTTGAGAGCAGTCCCAAGAGAGCGCTGGAAGGCATGAGCGTGCACAGAAGGGTCGATACGACCATACCCACTTCAAGAAGAAAGCAACAGAAGAGTTGAGAGAACAAACAAAATTCGCGCACTACGATCCAAAAGCGTTGAAGACTTCGTCGTGGTCAGATGAGCAATCGAGCAGTCCGACAAGCGGAGGAGGTTGACCTTTATGTGCAGGATGAACCAGATGGAGAAGTGGAAGGCTATGATTGGAGTGAAGAGCTGGGGCGTCATGGAGGCGCAAACTTTTTGACGCAAGAGGAGATGAAGAAGCGTGGCTTCTTTGATGAAGGCCGTGGACCACCAAGTGTCAGTGAAGAAGAGTTGCAGGCACTGGATCAACAGGCCATGTTGACAGAAGTGGCGCCCTGCAAGTTCTAGCAAGCCTTGAGGCCAATGAGAATGTGGAGGAAGCCGTGAAGCGCGACGCCCGCATTGTCTTCGACTGGAGGTTCCGAGAGTCATATGTTGGGTGAGGAGAGCGCGGCTGGTTGCTAGAGAGTTTCGTGGTGGAGCCGCGTCGCCAGTAGAGACATTCAGTCCTACAAGTCCACTTTCTGTCATCAAACTTTTGCTGTCCATGAGCATTGCTATGAATTTGATGGTTTCTTTGATGGGTATTTCAGACGCCTTTCAGCGTGAGTTTGTAGTGATTGAGGTGCCAAGTTGGATTCGAGAGATCGTCCAGCAGCCAAACCTCATGTTTTGGAAGCTCCAACTATGTTTACCAGGACAGGAACGCAGCCTTGGAGTGGAACAAGCATTTTGCTGCATTGTGTGCTGAATTTCATTTCCATTCATTTCAAGTTTCTTTCAGTGCACATTGATGATATCATCCTGGTTGCGGAAGAGGCATGTCACTACATGTTTGTAGAGCACTTTTCAGAGAGGCGGAAATTCAAGGCAGATGGACCATTTGGAGTTGAGAAGCCAGGCGCTTTGTACTACTTGAAAGGGCGAACCACGTTCGACAATGAAGGACTTGAGATAGCTGCAAGCAAGAAGTATGTGCCAAAGTTGAGTGCTTTGCTGGGAGTGCAAGATCGGAGAGAGCGAGGAGTTCCATCACTGGGGGGCTTAGACGTCTATGATGCTGGCTCAACACCAGAAGAGGAGTTTCTGGACACAAAGGACGCCCAGACTTTCAGGTCGGCGCTTGGGATTCTGATCTATTAGGCATCCAGCATGCTACAAGGATCCTGAGCTCATACATGAGTCGGCCTACCAAGACACCGCTTTCAGCGATCAAGAAGGTAGCCTGCTACTTGCAGGGCGCTGCAGACATGGTTCTGCGGTATGAGAGATCAGGCGAGTTCGCGACAGAGTTTAGCAGATGGAAGCATCTTGATGATGTGGGAGTCAAGGCTAGTCACAAGCCGCATGTCAACATGTTGGAATTGTTTTCTGACTCGGATTGGGCTACTTCCAAGAGTTCCCGGAGGTCAACATCGTCAGGGTTATGGGAACTGCATTCATTCCCACAGCAGAGGCCAAATGTCGATAGCGTTGTCGTCGATGGGTGGAGAAGTGTTTGCAACTGGACTTCTAGCAGAAGGGATCATGTTGAAGCAAGGTCTACAGTTCTTGCTTGGTTGCCGCCAAGATAGGCGGTTGAAATGAAGTTGTTCCTGGATTCGACAAGTGCTCAGGCCTTTTTCCAGCGCATTGGACCGGGGAGAGCAAAACATCTTTGCGCCCGGATCGGGCAGGAAGCAGTGAGGCGTGGCTGGTATCGAATTGGCCGCATAGCGCCAAATGACAACCCAGCTGATCTCAACACCAAGCCCCTCAGTCGAGAAAGGCGAGAATTTAGCAAAGCTTATTGGACTATGGAGTTCAAGTTTCAAGCAGGAGTTTGCGCCCCGTGTTTAGAGGATCATTCAGGTTCTTTTGGCCGCTGGACTTCTAAAGGGATGCAACAACAATGGCACGTCAGAGACGACGTGTGGAGGCACGAAGCAAGTTGTGATGCACGCTGCCTGGAGCCTGCGCATTTGGTGTTGGGCAGTGTTCGTTCTCATGAGTGTGATTGCCATCTTAGTCTTTAACGTGCAGAGGATGAGGGCCCAGCTGGCAAAGTATACAGATGCGCGTGGAGAGGTTTGAAGAAGGAGCTGGCATCGAGGAGACGTGAAGCCCATTTCTGATGGCAGAAGGCGAAGGTGAAGAATCAGCTCATTCAGACAATGATGACGAGGACTATTATGACGTGGAGAAGGGACCCGTACTATGATGATGCTCCTCTACATGATGTGGAGGAGGCCCCTTTGAAGAGAAGGAAGTGTGTCCATGAAGGAGTTCACGCAATGGAGAACCCATGTGACGATGAGGAGAACAAGGGTGATGAACAGCCATAGCCTTCGAGTTCTTCGAGAGGAGTTGAAGAGGATGTGGCACAGCGCATCGCGTCAGACTTTAAACTTTGTGGCTGAAGAGTTGGCGCAATTCTTGAATCCACAGGACGCGGCCAGTGAAGGTCCTGATGATGGATCTACATGGTATGCTGTTTGCTCTATGGCTTCGATGTCCTTTTGGGGACTTGAAGTGTGCCCATCTTTCCAGAAGATCTTCAGAAGATGCGAACAAAATCAAATCTTGTGAATGAAGGACAGGGACCAGAGGTTTCTTTGACTTTGGCGTGTCGCCGTTTGAATGAGTGCATCCGTGAGCTGGAGTATAGAAAGGATGCAACTTTGAGAAATGAGATCAGGTCAGCCCGTAATACTTTGCACTACCTCCAGCATCTTTTAGGATCTTTTAGGGTTGTGTCACCAGAACAAGCCCAAGGCTTTTCACGCTGCAGCCATCTTTCGAAGCAGCATTTCTTTCTTCTCAGACAACGAGACAACGTCAGGAAGCGATTGTGAAGAGGAAGAGAATGCCAATGAAGGACCAAGAGAGGCAGATGTGCATGGACCGCTTGAGGAAAGCGAAAATCAAGACGCCTGGATTGACTACAACTACCCCGTGGAAGATGAAGAAGATGAAGAAGAGGAAGTCACGGTGGAGGAAAATGATGAAGGAAACGATGGGTGAAAAACTTTGACTTCTACAAGTTTGCTCAATGCATGAGTCTTTGACGAGAATGGTTGAGCGACGAGAGAGGGGTAGCGTTTCATGAACTGGAACTCAGACTGTAAAGATTTCTTGATTTCAGAAATCCTTAAGGCGGGGTGCCACATAATCGGATGAAATGCACAGCTTCAGGTGAACAGCGCAGTATGTGTTCTTATCTTGACATAGTGGCTCCAAGGAGTTCAAAAGGTCCGAGCTTTGTGAGAGCCGGGGAAGACGTGAAACAAAAGAAAAGAAAGAGTGCGCAAAGGCCAAAGGATGAAAAGGGAACGACATGGAGGGGCCGGAAACCGACGAAGCCAAAGACGTGTCTGGTTTGGAGTGTACGCGCCGTGTGTGTGCCCTCAAGCTCCAGCAGGTCCCAATGGACCTCAAAGAATCTTGACCGCTCTAAAGTCACCTTGTGCCACGCCAAAAATTTCGGGCTGCGTGGGCCGCTATGGTCACCTAATGGCGTGCTCGAAAGCTGCCTATTCAGACTCCAAAATTCGGCAGGTCTTAGCAAATTAACTTTGGCGTAAGCCTACTTCACCCGCTGTGGGCACGTTTCACTCCTGGGTTTCACCCTGGGCTCTCACTAAGGAGAGACACACTCGAGAACTTCATACGGAACTGATCGTGTCAAGGCCCTGAAGCCTAAGTGGAAAAATGCCTGGGTAAAGCAGGTAGTATGAAAGCGTTATGGCCATGTCAAACCTCAAAAAACGCCCAACGCCTGAAATTCGTACATTTCAAAAGCGGAAAGAACTCGTGACTGCAGTGAAGGAACCGCTGCAATGGCCAAAGTCTTGTTCTAGTAATGAACGGGACCAAGGAAGAAATGAACATCAGAACTCTGTAGGTACGCAGTTGGACGCCTCCAACTGTATCACAGGTAACTGATGAGCGTTTTTGTTAGCACCAGTCTCATCAGCACCCCCGGTGCCCCCTGCTGTAAAATCACTGAAAGAGAAAACCCTAGAAACAGAGGACAAATTCAACAGAATCCCTGTGACCCCAAGGGTTTCACACACACACACACACTCACACGCCTGCGCACATAATATGAAAACATATCAAAACTTCATATATACAATCATATTTTTGTACATTTCAAACTCTTGCTTCCGAACAGAATGAAGGTGTGGCCCGCTTTGGAAAAATTGAATTTGTCGACTGCCCTTGCCGACAGCAAACCAAACACTTGGTGCTGCGAAACCTGAGGAGAATGAGGTGCCAAAACGTCCACGTGCCCCGCAACAACCAGGATATTTTTTGGCCCCCGCATGCGCCACATGCAAAGGCTGCACTATTGCAAACCAATTTCCCTGTATTAGTATGTGCATAAGAGTTCTTTTGGCTGTTGGAGATGCAGGCTGTCCCCTTATCCATCCGTGAATTTTGGGGAGTAAGCTTGGGTCGTGAGGGCAACATGTTTTGCCAACATGACGCATTGTGTGCAGATGCTGTACCAACAGTTTCATGTAATACTCCCCGCAGTTTTTCTGCCTTCTGCCTTTGCTGAGTCACATGCTGTCTCGGGTTCGCAGGGGCCTCCAAGTCATTCCCATGAAAGTTTCAGTTGTGTGTCACAGCTCGAAGGGACGTTGGGTCGCTCTGTTTGTCATTGACAGGCCACATGTATGAAGTCAAGCATCACCAATTGAAGGCGAGAACTGAATGCAAGTGGCAAATTCTCTCAAGAAAGGTTCCGGATGTGCGTTTACATAAAATACATGTCGATGGTACAAAAGAACGACTCCACGAACATGATGTGCAGCATGCCTTTCAGCACTCAGGTCAAAATGCCCGACTTGGGATGAGCCTGCAAGGAGGTATAGCGATATTAAACCTTGCATGTCCAGCTGGAAAGATATCGTTATTCCTGGGCACACTGATCATGCTCGACTACAAGCCATGCGAATGGAAAACCGACCATCAGATTTGCGAGATCTTCTGATGACTTTCCATGGCAGCCATTCTGGGAACAAGGAGACTCGCAGATGCCGACTGAAGGCTAATTAATCCATTTGTGGGGGCAAGAAAGCATAAGAGAACCATATTAAGGATTGTTGCCGCAAGAGGTGCTGATTGGTCTGTGTTCCTTGGGTAGGGTGCCGTGGTCCTTGTCCAGGAGGTCTATCATGAATGCGCTGTCCGCGACCGCATTCTGGCCTTGGCGGATATGGAGGGTGTGGATGTCGGCAACTTGCCTACAAAGTCGCGTTGATGACTCTTTGTGCATTTGGTTTGTGCCAAAAGGTGCAATTTTGGCACTGAGGTGGCTTTATCCCTGACTACTTCACTGTGAAGGGCCGGTCGCATTTTTGCTTGATCCCTGCGGGCACGTCTCCGTGGACCAATCAGCTCTACGAACCGTGAGCATGACATTCAGTCGATCTGGTCACGCACACACACACACACACATCCGCATGTAAAACAGGCTGGTGACTAGAGGGGCAAGGCAAGAGCCAGAGGAGTGAGACCATGCAAAGCCAGACCTCAAGCTTTTCACCTAGGACCTAGACGGCATTAATAGGTCTTGAGTCTTCACCCAGCAAGAAGAGAAACCGCTTGTCCCAGGAGAGTATCCACTGCGGCTGCATCCCTGTGATTCTGTCTGATGAGTATGAAGTCGCCTTTCAACATGTCCTTGTGCCTCGGTCTTGACCCTTAGCCCGTCACCCATGTGTTGAAACTAGGTTGAAGAGGTAGACAGGAGATGCATGAAATCTAAATTGAAGATGTTTCTTGGATTGATTGGTTGTTTCAGCTGGGAGTTTCCTACCATACTTGTACAGAAGACAGTCCTTTCGTCGTAGCGAGGTTGACCTGTTTTGCTGAGGAATGGCCTCGGTTCAGCCTAAAGTTGCCTGAGGCCATGGTAGGCCCACAGCTCTACAGCTTCCTCCTCTCGATTCCACCCGAGACGGTGCGGGACATGAAGGCTGGATAGCGGTATGCGAAGTCCTGACGTGCACCCAGGTCTTTCAGATGCAGAGCTTTCCGAACCTGAAAACAGAAAACGTGAGATACAATTTGATAATGTTGGGAATTTGATTGCTGACGCGCATAGCTGTGGGGCTGGTCAGGCAGAGGTGGACGCGCATAGCTGCTGGTTTGACTACTTTTCTGCAGACCAAGACTGTTCACCTTTTGCAGCGGTACTGATGGCCCTGGAGGAACGCAAGGGCCGAAAGCAAAAGAGCTGGAGTCGTTTCTGGCATGTGCCAAAGGGAGTGGACACCGACCACTGGCAACGCTTGACGCGATTTCATTCCCTGGCGGAGGAAAAGTTCCAATTTTGAGCAAAGTTGGACTTCTTAGTTGGACACTACAACTGATCGTTCAGATCCTTCACATCGCGAACGCGGACGGCGCCATAAAGCCCATGAGTACGCGGTATGTTGACCAGCTTTTGATTTGTCAGCTTCATGTCGATCCTCCCGGTGGCCATGGCATCGGCGTACTTGCACCCGAGGCATCCTGGCTGGACCCGAGGGCAGTGCCATGGCGCGATTGAAGAAAAAGATACACACATATATATATATATATTTATTACACATTGTTTGTTGACTTGGCATGGGGCTCAAAGATGTGAACAAGCATCCGGCCGCCTTGGCCTCCCTTGTGTGTGGTGTATTATGATGGTGTATATGATTACGGTATATATATATACGATATACTATATGTTATAAGCGGATTTTAACAAGCCAGCAGTGGCTGTGATGTTTACACGCCTCAAATGATGAGCAACTCCATGTAGATTATTGATCGGGCCTTTGGGGCTATTTGGGACTTGTGCAAGTTCCCCACCACCAGGAGAGGTGGACCGCCTCAACAAGGAGGTTGGCAGCTTGCGAGGAAAGTTGGAGCGCGTACAGGCAATTTTGAATGAATTTGGGAGATTTTGGGAGTGTTCCGGAGTGTCCATCCGCGTGGCCAGGCGCAGATTACAGGGGAGCGATCTTCGATGCAGCAAATCGAAGAGCTGGACAGTAAACTGCGTTTCTCTGCGGCTGAGGTACTCAGGGAGTGCTTCCTTGCTACGGGGACATGTTGAACCAACAAATATGGAACCATTGACTTTGTCCCACTTGATTTGTTTGAGACCTTTTTGGAGGCAACATGGGATGAAATTGCAAGGGGCCCCTTGTTGAGGGAGGGGGATGTGGACCAACCCTGACGGGATGAATTGTTAATTGCAATCATTGAAGTCCTGAACTTTGATGGTTTTGTTTTTTTTCCCCCACCTGTCAGGTGAGGGTTGTTAGATTTTAATGTTAGCTGCCTCACGTCACAACCACAAAGACACATCCACAGCACACAACCACAACACAAAACCACAAACAACTACAGCAAACAACGACAAACACATAACAATATAACATCACATAACCGCAAACACAACTACAAAGACACGATCACAAGCACACAGCCACAAAGACATCCACAGCACACAACCACAAAGACACATCCGCAACACACAAACACAAAGACACATCCACAGCACACAACCACAAACACTTGACCACAAACACAACTACAAAGACAGAAAAAGACATGGCATATATGGCTGAAGAAAGTTTGAGTGACCTGTGACCAGTGGATTCATTCGCGCTCTGCGGCCGGCCTTCCGCATTGCGTGTTTTGCGATAACAACACTGCCTTACACAGACGCGCGCTCCGGCAGCGGAGCGCAGCTTGGAACATGTGGATGCGTTGCTTTTGCTATGGGGTCGTTTCGGTCAGTTCGCTTCTAATGTTCGATCTTAATTAGTAAGCGGGCCCTCCCCAGCAAACAATCCAGGGGGTCTGAAGAGTAACCCCGCCACCCAAAAGAAGTAGTAGTAGTAGTAGTCGTCGTCGCCGTCGTCGTCGTCGTAGTGGTGGTGGTGGTTGTGGCGGTCGTAGTAGAAGAAGAAGAAGAAGTAGTAGTAGTAGTAGTTAGTAGGTAGTAGGTAGTAGGTAGTAGGTAGCAGGTAGCAGGTAGCAGGTAGCAGGTAGCAGTTGGTAGTTGGTAGGTAGTAGCTAGTAGTTAGTAGTTAGTAGTTAGTAGTTAGTAGTTAGTAGGTAGTAGTTAGTAGTTAGTAGTTAGTAGTTAGTAGTTAGTAGGTAGTAGGTAGTAGGTAGTAGGTAGTAGGTAGTAGGTAGTAGTAGTAGTCGTAGTGGTAGTAGTAGTAGTAGTAGTAGTAGTAGTAGTAAGTAGTAAGTAGTAAGTAGTAAGTAGTAAGTAGGAAGTAGCAAGTAGCAAGTAGCAAGTAGCAAGTAGCAAGTAGGAAGTAGTAAGTAGTAAGTAGTAGTAGTAGTAGTAGTAGTAGTAGTAGTAGTAGGAGTAGGAGTAGGAGTAGGAGTAGGAGTAGGAGTAGAAGAGATAAACAAGGTTAGAAAGGGCAGCAGTAGCAGAACAATATAGAACAACCATAAAGTTATTAGATTTTTCCCTCAGGGCCCGAAGATTGCATATTCATCCCACCCCTAAACAAGTAGTATTATTCACTTACCCAGGGCTGGTGTACTACCCCCTTGAAAAATTGTTTGGAGCAATGAAATCGTTTAGTTTTAATAAACGTTTTTGAAAGCGATTTTCAGGTCATAACTCCATGAAGCAAGCAAACCTCAGGAGAGTTAAGTAAGGAAGTTAAAGGGTGAGCAATAGCAGAACAGTAAAAAACCAAACAAACCTCTAAAAAACCGCACACTGTGATATTTTTTATTATTCCGACCCATCAGACTAATCAGGGTGTGTTAATAATTTGGCGAAAACTTTTTACTATTCCGTACCATTTTACTAATTTGGGTTCCAACATTATCACAAATTGAGGGGATAGAGCCCGAAATGTAAAGGTAGTAAAGGTCATGGGTCATGAGGCCTGTCAGAGAAGTTTTATACAGGCATGTTCCCAAGCCAGCGGGGCGCGCTCTTGGGTGCAATGGTTATCTGAGATTGTTGACTGGGGTGCACATGTTTGTTTGATCCACACGACACATCCACAACACACAGCCACAACGCAAAACCACAGCGCCCAACTACAACACGCACAACCACAAGCACAGCACAACCACACACACAGCCACAAATACATCCACAACACACAAACACAAAGACACATCCACAACACACACACACAGCAGACAACCACAAACACATAACAGTTACATAAGCACAAACACAAACACACACACAATCACAAACATGTCAGACAATATGGCAAGTAGACGCTTAGAATATATACTAGATAGAAATGTCACGATATATGTCAAAGATGATGTTTCTGTTGCCTCCTTCCTTTGCCTTTCCGGACCAGACACCTGACAGGCGGCACGCCGCTGTTTTGCAAGAATGTTTGTCACGTCTGACAAGCAGCAGAATGTGCCAGAAAAAATGCCGAAATAAGGTTGCAATACGTGCCAGAAAACTTGTCAGATTGAAGTGTCATGGAGGGGACCATCGAAGTGAAGTAATTTTCCCCGATTGCGCCAACATGAATCTCCGCCCCACGCGCCGAGGCCAGAGCAACGCCAGAAAACTAGCGAGTTACTTGTAGTTGGGTGGTACTTCTTGATGGTGATGCGCACGTCCATATTATAAACGCCTTCCACTCTATATGAAAACAAATTGCAGGCTTTCAAGGCGCGAACATGTTCTTCAGAAGGGCGTAACTCAACCATGGGCTGGCTGATCAGCTGGGGAACGACCAGGGCTGGAATGGGTGTGGCTTGCCTTTCAGGGGACGAAGAGAGCCGATTGAGTGGGACGAGTTGGGGCACTTTGGGGAATAGGGCTTTTGGATAGAAACCACAAGTCAACTCATCATTTTCCTGGGTTTTGATGTTGCCCCCTGGCATTGGAGAGGTTGGGAGAACATTTTTTCGTTTCCCAGCTTGGTGGTTACATGTGGTTACTAATTTCTAAGATGAAAAGGTGACATTGAACATTTCTATCAGGGGCTTCATGGCGCAAACTGATTCTTGGTGGCCTCCCTTCCAACGGTTTTGCAGGTGACTCGTCTTCAACAAGACCTTGAAAATGTCAAGAAGCAGGATGCATTCTCGGCACTAGGCTTTGGCCCATGCTGTAGTCCAGCTACCCTGGCGGAAGGCTATCTCCATGTTGTATATATGAGCCTGTGGGCGTTTCTATACCGGGGACCGAAAAAGACGAAGGGAAGAGGAACATCTGACCAATATCATCCAATATCCAGTGGCTCCGGGGTCTCCGTACCCTGCTGACCATGAGATCATAAGATCTACTGTATCTCTATTATGTATATATAATTTATATATCCTCGTCAAGGGTTCGCTGGACTTTGGACGAAGCGGTAGGAGTCGGAGCTGCGCCACGGCAAGATCAAGTACGAAGCAGAGATGGGGAAGGTCCTATCATGTCTTGGCAACTTTTCGGGTGCGGTACTGTACTAGATCAGACAAATGTGCTATACATCCAAAGAGTTTTTGTTTGCGTTCTTTTGGAGACTTGCGGTAGTTTGTACTACGACTCTTGTTATCAGAATATATAATATACAATTGAATCGCAGAGGCATGAATAGTATTTGCAGTGCTACAGAATCAAAGAGGAAGTTCTGCGCTGTTGTCCCTCGAGGCAAGTCAAGAAAAGCTAAAGATGCAGGAGCTGTGGGGATTGAGCTTCACTGTGCATCACCGTGTTTCGCAAGCCTTTGCCTGCGTTGACAGCCGCTTGGCAACAAGGCCCTGATGAGCAAGAGTGCAGGTTCTTCCTGTCATCTCATGTTTTGTGCTACGTGAGCTGCCACGGATTTGGTACACATGCCTTGGCACCTGGCTTTCGCCACATGGCACCTTTTGTTTCCTGGGGCCATTCCCGAATTTGAGTACCATGTGTCAGTCAGTGGCTTTGTACCTGCATTGGAGGAGAGCGAAGCATTGCGAATGATCTCGGCTGAGGGAAGGAAGATTAGACGACATTAGACGTGTTTGACAAATCCTTGCGCTCAACCAGACAGATTTGCCACACGGCGTGCGCTGCGTGCGCATTCGATTGAGCGCCGTAGAGAGACACCTGTGGTCATGCCCTTTTGGCGACCAAGGTGACGTGTGTCGTGCTGGAATGCCTTGCACTGTTTGCGTGAATGTTTGTTGTTTGCGCTGTGTGCGCTTGTCCAGCTGGCGTCGTGTGTTTTGTTCTTTTGCTGCGCTATGGTGGTCATTGGTCGTGGTATAATGTCGATGTATGCCGTGATAGCGTTGGTGGATTCACGCAAAGTGCCGGTTGATGTGGCGTATAAGGCACCCCAGCCAACCCATTGGCAGCAAGATAATTTTGACATGCAGCTCCATTCTTGACAGAGACGGACATAACATAACTGTGCCGAGCCAACACTTCAACTGTTTGAATGTGTGTAGCAGTGTAGCCCTCCTGTTGTTCAGAATCTTGACAGCGAGAGACTTGTCAGTTGATTGAGTTCTTGAAAGGCACTTTTTTGGTGCAACGTCTACAGTGGTGCTGTCATGTGCTGTCAGAGTGTTCCAAGTGTGATGACTGTGCCACAGTCGGAGTCAAAGTCGGCACAGGGGGAGAGCGAGAGAGAGAGAGAGAGATAGAGAGAGAGAGAGATGTACCTGAAAGACTCAATTCAATGAGAGAATGAGAGATGCGGGTGTGCAATCTTCTGAATTTCCAAGGCTTAAGCCTTCGTGGCTTGTTTGTCTCTGCCAACATTTGCCGACCCCTTTTCCGACCAACACAGTGTGGGCACCATTGAAACACGACTGACGGCACCGGTGAGGAGGAATTGGCGCGCTTGCGGGCTCAGTTGCAGCGGGAGGAGGCGATCCCGTCTCCCGAGCCTCAGTGCTGATGGGTTGAAGGACGTCACTGGATAAATGGATATACTTTGCGCGTGCTTTGTATATATATATATTTTTATATATGCCCCTGTATTTGGAAACGTGTATGCACATGGTAAGGCTTGATGGGGGACATCTCGAATGGAGAGAAAAGGAGGAAAAAAGAGCTGATAGGGGTTTCAGCCGTGCAATTATCCTGGACAAGGCAATGTGAACAGGAGAGGGCAGAGACATTGGGTGTCGTGATAACTGTGATGATAACCTTTATGCAGTCCGCGGTTGTGGGCCTTTGCAGGTGAAAACAGCAGTGCACGGGGTTTTACCCTATAAGAAGGTGTTTGGACATGTTCTTTGGTCCATGACCAGGATTCACTACTGTTGTGGCTCCATGAAATGTGTTTTTAAGTGTGTTTTCTCCAGAAACTGCGATACTGCGATACTCGTGAATCATGCTGGAAACTTTTTCCAGGGAAGTCAAAACCGGAGAGTTTCAGCCGAGGCTGTGCTGGCCGAAGAACTGGACCGGGCCTGGCAGGACCTCGAGGCCAAGGAGACGCTGATCCGACACTTGGGCAGCATCGCAGCCCCTGAAGAGAGGCGCTTCTCGGGTCGAGGTGTTTAGCCTTTGAGGCTTTTGGGAGCTCACCCTGATAAGCCTCAAAGGCTAAACTCCAAAAGCTGGTTTGGGATTTTGTGCTCTCTGGGTCTCGGTGTGTTGGCGCTGCAAATTGCAAATCGTGTGGTTTTGTGAGCCCAGGTGACTTGCAGGTGGCAGGGACCCGGACAGGTGCTCAACTGGTTGAGGCGATGGAGAAACAGAGGTGCGTCGAACCACAGCACATGTGGTCACAGTGTTGTGTCTTTGACCTGTGTGGTTCAGCTTGGCTACACTACACTGACAAAGTAAGTATGATGGTGTGCTTCTTTTCGAACCTCAATCGTACAAGCGGGTTTTCCGGCGGAGCCGCGATGCAGGCACAATGAGCAGATGGTCTCCAGGGTGCCGCAGCTTGAAGGGGAGATCCAGAGCCTGCGGCAAGATCTTTCAACGATCTCTAGATGAATGGAGTCAACTGCTTGTTGAAGTTTGGGATTTGTGGTCGGAGTTTTGGACGAAGGAAGTATCGCGATAAGGCCGCTTCCTGTTTCCTGGTTCCTCTTTTAAGGCATGAGTTATTTCCCATTTAATAGTTCTAACCAGGAGCTCCTAGTAGCGTCCTTACCACAAGTTTGCCCAGACGGCCATGGAGCGCTTTGCGGATCCCCGTCACGCCACCACGGTATGCCTCAGTGCTCGCCGCTGTGAGGAAACTCTCTGAGTTGGCTGTCCTGAAAGAGACGCTCGCAGAGACCGAGGAGACGGAAACAAAGTATGGGACCCACACATTGGGGGCACTGGCTTGATCTGACTTGGTGACACGTTGGCGAAAGGGTACTTCTAAACAAGATATTGCAACATATATTAATATAAGATTAATATATATATATAGTTATAGTTATGATATATATATATATTACTGGTTGTGTTACATTTTTGATAGCGTTTGTATTTTCAGTCGTTTTTGGCCATGGTGCAAGTAGGATCCAGTAGGCTCTAGGCCTTAGGCTCTAGTTTTTGGACATGGTAACCTCGGTCCCAGGAGAAGCTGAGGCTCAGGGAAGAGGCTGCACCAGAGCTGAGAGCTGCAGAGCTCCTGGCCACCGAAGCAGAACGTTTAGAAGAGGCACGGGCTCAGTGGACCGAAAATGAATGGTCGAATCGTCGAAACGAAAGAATAAGGAAAAGAACCAACTAAAAAGCACAGAAGCGAATGGAAAGAAAAGGCCTGTGGACTCATGTGGGGAAAAGACAGTATATGTCCTTATGTAGAGATCATCGCACCGCAGCATGCTTGTGCTCGCTTGTGCTGTATAATGCGGTATGTATGACTGTATGAGTATATATATATATATATGTATATCTATAGAGTACATGCATCCATCCATCCATGCATGCATGCATCCATGCATCAATGCAAACGCCCATGCGTCTGTCCGTCCGTCCGTCCGCACACACACACACACATGCATACACATCCATACACATGCATGCATACATGCATACATGCGTGCATACATACAGACATACAGACATACAGACAAACAGACAGACAGACAGACATGCTCAAGGCCATTAGCTGCTCAAGGTGGCAGCCAATAAAGACCACCTGGTGCGGCACCCCACTCAAGCATAGCTTGCAGAACCCCGACACCTTGGACCGGTACAAGTCCAACTAGATCACATTCTTTGCTCGTCATCTCCTGCACTCCAACACCGCTCTTGACTTGCTCTTTGGTGCCTGGCAGTGCTCGCTCACGGCTCTTAATTTGACCTGGACATCCTCCACGATCCCGGCTACCAACTCCTTCGGCCTTGGGGAGTTTGACACCTACCGGTCAATAACATTGAAGACTTCTACAGCCAGTTCGCGGAAGGTGCAGTGATCATGTCTTGGGGAAGAAGCTACATGATATGCAAAAATCCTTCTTGCAGCAACTGGATATGGATAGACAAACTACGACCAGACACCAGGTGCTGAAAATGCGGACAATGGTGGCAGCAAGCTAGCTCTGGTAAGGGCAAAGGACAAGGCCATGGACAAGCCAAAGCATTTGGACAAGGAAACAAGCTTCCACTCAGCTGCTGGACACTCCGCCAGGCCTCAACAGACTTCGACCTCTGAAGCAGCACAAAGACCAAGCTACAGCAGCAGAGCTCTTGGCCAGCACCTGGGAGGTCATCCCAGAGGCAATTCAAGCCAAGCTCACAGCTCTTGGGTATGGACCACCGCCGCAAGAGGAACCCGAGTTGACTGAGCTCTTGAAGTCCCACATGACGGTATTACCACAAGAAGTACAAGCAGTGGTCACAAAACTGACCCAGCCCTTGCCTGACACCGAGAAGGAGCTTGCACAAAAGCTCAAAGCCCAGGTGGGAGAGTTGAAGTCAGTGTCCATCAAGAAGAACCAACTCCAGACGAAATTGGATCAAGTCAAATCACAATATGCATCTATGCTTCAGGACATGCAAGACCTTCAAAGCAAGTTGAATGAGGGCCAGCAACGCCTCAAAGCACTGTCCGATCAATACATGAAGGTCACAACCCAGACACCTCCACCGACCGGACTGGAGCCTGATGACACCAAGGACTTGCCCATTCCTATGGCAGTAGAAACCTTTGTCTCTAGTCTGGGCGTTGATTTGACAGATGAGCAAAGAACTCAACTGCACGGCCTACTCAAACGGCCCAAAGCAGATGAAGAAGAGATCAACAAGAGAAGGAAAACTGATGCACAGGCCGCACCACCAGGGGGGCAGTGTGGGTAACACTCCAACCACAGGGAAACCCACAACCCCAGCGTATCAGGCGCCGATACCTTGGGAAGAGTTCGAGGCACCACCATGCATACCGGTTTGCCGTGCTGCATCCGGCTCAACCCAGGCGGGGGCAACCTTAATAGGTGCAGGGGGCCAGACACCACACGATATGAAGGAACCAAACCTTTTTCAAGTCGGGGACAACACCTGTTCAGGTGAAGGGGAAATCACCACACAGGACAATACTGAACCATCCAACACCAACTGGATGCACAATTTTGACACAACAACAGCACCCGCCTCTGGCGCTGATGGCACTCTACGGGGAGCACCTACCAGTGAAGAGCCAAACAAAGAGCTCGATGAAGTTCAGGACGCAGAACACATATGCCTCAACAACAGAGTACATCCTCCAAAACCTCTCCATGACTGCTTGGGGAATCCAAGCTCACGGTGCTTTGCAAATGCACCATGGAGAGCTTTTACATGGACGTGTGCGCTCCTCCAAGAAACGCACACCGAGCCCTGGGGCACCCTGCATGCAACTGTTCAAGAATCACTCGAACTGGCTGAAGCAGTTGACATCCAAGACCTACCAGGACTGCAACGGCTATGGAAGAAGCGTGATTTGAATGTACAAGGGGATGCAAATCACTTTGTGAACACTTTGTGGCACCTTTCACAAAGCAGAGCATTCCACTACCGATATGCCGAGATCAAACCCGGTGGCTACCTGGCCGACCATGTTCAACTACCCCTCCTAGTTGACTATCCAGATGACTGGCCAGAGAACACCATGCTGCAGACGCTGATGAATGGATGGGCCAACGAAGGCTTGGGACATACCTCATGGATGACAAGCCCATCCTGGTTACACCAGGAATACCACCATCGACGGAGTTGCTTCCAAGCACAAGAAAATCCTGAATCCATATGGGACCTTCACTGTACCCAGATCACTGGACGGATTTGCAAGAGCCTCAACTGAATTTGTTCCGGCGGCCCTGATCTGCCATCGAGGACCCAACCACGAATCTGGGCACTATTTCGCGATCCTCATCTACAAGGATCTCATGTGGCTTGCAGATGATGGCAAACCTCCAATACATCTGGCACATCTTACACCGCAACTAGCCAGCCAGGTGACGCAAATCTGGGCAGTTCACATTGACACGTTCAGAACTACCCAACAAGTCATCCACATGCTTCCACCACCAGAGGAACCAGATTTTGATCCACCGCTTCACCCCAGTCCAAAAAAGACCTCGCCTCGAACAGGCTCACAACCAGTTGCACTACGCCAATGTCACCACATTTGGAAGACAAGTCATCGACTGGTACTGGACGAGGAAAAGTGAAGTCTACATCTTTGTGGAAACCCACTTGGACCCACAAAAACATGAGCAGACATGCCAATACTACACGATTCGGGGACGAACTGCTTGTGGAGTACCAGCTTGGCCCAGTGAAGACAACTCTGGCACCCATGGCGGCATCCTGATCCTGGGAGATCCTTCACGCGGCCTTACACCAGTAGAAAACTTCACACTCCAAGGATGCGGGTACCAAGCCTTCCTATGGCAGGCCACTGAACAGAAGACAATTTTGGTAGCAGGTGTGTACCTCCACACCAATGAGAGCATCCAGAGCGAGACCAGTGCCACAATCATAGCCAAGCTTCTGGCACTACTGCAGGCTACCAACCATCCCTACATCCTGATTGGGGATTGGCAGAACAAACCCAGCGCCATTTCGAGTACAGTCCTCCCGTCCAAGTTCCACTTTGACATCTTGGCACCTGACCACAGTGTGCTCTCTGGCAATGTCATCGACTACAGCCTGATCCACACATCAATCTCCAGCGCAACAGCATTGACCACGGAGTGGGCTGTTCCCTGGCGACCGCACGCTCTGCTGACGCTACACCTGGACATTGAAGCAGCCACAAAAGAATACCGGCAGGTCCAATGCTTTCCAGCACTCCCAGCAACACCGGACATTGACTTCCGTCCATGGACCACATACCAGTCTCAGGCTTTTGAGCTCTGTCAAGGCACAACAGTGGGCGGATTGGATCTCAATCACCGAACAATATCTACTACAAGAACACCCTTGGGCTGCCCAAGGAAGAGGAGCCAATCTCAGGGTGACGATCAAACCCCTTGTTGCTCCAAAGCCAGGCGGCGCTTGGAAAAAAGGAAAGGCTGCGTACTGGGAGCAACTTCAGGCCCGCTTCAGACTGGCGCTCAAGCAACCAGCCTCTCAGCCAGGAGGACCCACCAAAGGGTTCATGGCAGCCATCAAAGACATCCACTCCAAATGGCTTCACCTGGGGACAATTCCTTGACACCTGCCGCCACTGGCACCAGTACAGGGATAACCATGCAGCCGAGCTTCTCCAGACCATGCAACACCAGCTCCAGGAAGCACAACAGGCAGCCAACGATGAAGCACATCTCCAGTACAAAACTTGGCTACAACAAGGACACGCGAAAGGGCTGAAAGGCCTCTTTCGAAGCCTCAAGAGCAGTGAAGTTCCCTGGAAGAGGCCCTACCGACATCTCGAGCCTGACCAGCGCATGACCCAACGACTAGCAGATTGGGGCGACTTGTGGCACATCAGGCAACCAACCAACACCACGAACAAGCCTCAGAGAGCAAGCGCAACGACAAGCTAAAGCACTAGCACCCATCACACTTGGACACTTGGCTAAGACCATCAAAGGTCTACCTGACAAAGCCAGCGGACCAGATGCAGTGTCAGCGCAACTCCTAAGGACAGCGCCACCACTTGCGCTGGCGCCTTTGCTCAACCTCATCCAGGACATGGAACAAAGTGCGCAACTCCCGACACAATTGCAGATGCACATGGTGTTGATGCTTCCCAAAAATTCAACCATAGAAAGACCCATCACGTTGACCTCCACCCTCTACAGGCTGTGGTGTCGACTCAGGAAATCTCTCCTTGATGACTGGCAAGCCAACCTCCCGGACCAATTGAACCACGACAGGGCAAGACCAGGCGCCAATGTCCTCCAGGTAGCCCTGGAGAGATTGCTAAGGCAGGAGGCGCACAGAGCCAACAACAAACACGGTGTCACAGTTCTCATGGACTTGTCAACCTTTTATGACACCATCCAACTACAGAGACTACAAGAACAAGCACTGGCCATCCAATACCCTCCACTCATGTTGGAAATGGCCATGCAGGTGTACACGGGCCAAAAGCCATTGTCGCTGAACAGGAGATGACGCCTTTCCCCAGGCACCACTGCTTGCAAAGGCAGTGCTGACACCCGCATTGGCCCCATGGCACGAGCAGCACAAGCACATCCACCTGTTGAGTTGGGTGGATGACATTGGCTTTGACACAGCAGGAACCAGTCCCCACCAAGTGGCCCAGCAAGCAGTAGAGGCCTACAGGGACCTCCACAACAAGCTCACCAGCATTGGCTTGAAGGTCAGCGCCAAAAAGACAGCCTTCATTGGCACCGACAAGCACACCAACAGAGCTTTGAAAGACCTCCTCACAGAGGATGAGCCACCAGCCGTACCAGTTATGAGAGATCTTGGTATCGACCATCAAGCAGGACGGATCCGACGCGTCCCAGTGATGAAGCAAAGGATGCAGAAAGCCACCCAAAGAAGAATCAAACTGAGAACTCTCAAGATACCAGCCCTCAGAGTCCGTCTAAGACTCCACAGAGGAGGCATCCAGCCAGTAGCCATTTGGGGGACCAGCGCCCAGATACCGCATGGCGCTCAGACATGCACTGGCCAAACAGCTAGGACATCACACTGGAGGCATCCTGGATGTCACCTATGATATCCACAGCACCAAGTATGTGGACCCGGCTGACCAAATCACTATCCACCACATCAGGGCAATGCACCAGCTCATCCACGCCTGGCCAACCGAACAACTACCAATATCCATGGTACACTGTCAAAGGACCCATGGCAGCCACCATTGCCTATATGGCAGAATGGGGATGGGATGTCCAGCACCTTATGCAGTGGAGCCGCCCGGAAAACCAGTTCATGCTCTCCAATGAGATCCAAATGGCGGAACCTTGGTGGTGGTTGGAACACCTGCTGTACAAGGAAGCCCAACAGCAGCGCACCAGCAGATTTGCCAAGAAGCCAAACCATCAGCATCTGCTCACCGGCCTGGACTGGCACACTTACAGACAACTCAAAGGCAAACTTCCACAACAACAGCGGAGGCATCTGCAGACTTGGGTGCAGGGAGCACTGCATTACAGGGATGCAGATTCCACCAAGCTTTGCCCCATTTGCAACGTCCCGGCATATACTGTGGTTGTGTAAATGGCATCGTGACCAAAACCACAAGCCACTTCCACCAGAATGGATGGAGCGCATCACATGCCAGGATGAAGAACCCTTGTGGTCCAAGGGCTGGATACCTCTCGAACCCCAAGAACACTTGCGCAACCACCACCCTACCAGCGACACGGCATATGGCAAGGACTCCAACCAATTGGGCCGGATCAATATGTGGGCTGGGCATTCACTTTGGATGCCACACCCTCCCACTACGACAGCCGCAGCCAAATCTGGGTGTTTGGCCTCTGCGTACACACCCAGTCCATGGGGCAACCCAAACGACTGGGGGCAATCGCAGGTGTGGCACAGGGGCAGCAGACCGAGGGCCGAGGCCGGCAAAAGAGGGGAGCTGGACGATGGCGTGGATGTCCGTCTGTCCAACTCAGCTCAGTCTGGGAGGCATGGACAAACAACCACACCAGCATCCCTACCCAGACCTCCTTGAAGGCGCAACAGAACAAGACAGGAAACGCATTACAGTGCTTTACATCAGCCGCAAGACACGAACGCCTGATTCACCGGGCGTGAACCACAACTTCGCAGGAGACAGAGGGATGCAGCACTCACAGCCTGGGAACGTGCGGATGGGCTACATGACTGCAGGCTCACAGCATGGCAACAAACACTGGACAGAGATCACAAGACCATCTACACCCATGCGGTTCAAAGGCTCGAGAAGATCTACGCAGACAAGCAGCACTTTATCCATCACAAAACAGACAGGCAGCCTGGCAAACACACCAAGCAGAGGAAGAAAGATCTCATCCAACAGTGCAACAAGCCATGGCAAGCCCCACTTCATCGATGGGCACCCCAACGGAGTGGCTATGCATGCACAGCCTGTGGAACACGGATGCACCAAGGCCTAACAGCACAGATCCAGAAGACAGACGATCCCAGAAGACAGACTGGCAGAGCCATGCACCCAACTTCAAGCTGATCAGGCATGTCCCAGCCCAGGACCTGAGGCCCCTCCGCCTGACAAGAAACTCACCAGAATCCAAACCATCAGGAACATCCTACAAGCACAAGCAGGTCAAGATCAGGCCACTGACCGACACTGCTTTGAAGAGACCAAAGGCTATCTGAAGTGCACCAAATGCGGCACCAGTATCCACAAGAGGATCAACGAAAAGGCCTTCACCGAGTACATCAACAGTCCATGTCTGGACTGTCCTTTTGCAGGCCAACATACTGGCCATCCCAGTCACCAGCTCTGGCAGAAAGGCGACAGGATCAGCTGCACCCTCTGTGGGCTCCAACTTCACCTTGATGGGCAGCAGCGCATCATCACCACATCGAATTTCCTGAACAAATGCAAAGGGGCTGGTATCAAGGGCTCACCACCGATCAGCTCCTTCTTCAAAAGCACACCTCCGTCACAAACCGGAGATCGCAAAGCTGGAGAAGCACAACCTGGCACAATCGCTCCAGCGTCAGTGGCAGGGCCCCCACCCAAAAGGCTGCACTTCTCCACGCCACTCGCAGAGCGGGAAGAGGAACACAGCTCTGCAATGGCCATGACACCCAGCCAACAGGCAGGCACCCAAGCAGCCTCAAGCTCCGAAGAGATGCAAGATGAATCTGCGCCAGATGAAGACCACGACAACTACCAAGTCGACTTCTTCTAAACGAGCTGCCTGCTCCTGCGCTGCCGCGACCAAAACGGCCAAGAGACCAGATGCAGCAAAAGAACCCCTCTAGGAAAAAATAGATACATACATACATAGATACATACATACATACATATGCACACACACACCGCCTGTGTGCATCAGTGAAGATCGCTGGGGTTCTGAAGTGACTTTGTTTGTGAGCATGGGCCAGCATTATGATGCCACAAAGCCTCGCTGAGCCCTGCCTGACCAAAAAGGATTTGCAGTGAAAGGCTCGCATTTGCAGATTGAAAGACGGTCAGCAAGACTTTAGCCAAGTGTTTTTGACTGTAATTCTGAATGAGAGTGGGTTTTGCACATTGAAAGACGGCCAGAAAAGATTAAGCCAAGGTTAAATTCTGAATGAACGTGGGTTTTGCAGATTGAAAGGCAGTCAGAAAGAATTCAACCAAGATTTAACTTTGAATCAAGTCCCTTTGCGCCTTGGCTGTGAACAACGATAATGGGAGTTAAGCCACCACTTAATTCCCAAATCGTTGAATGATCCTGATACAGGGACTAGAGACGAATTAGCTTGCGATCGAATCTAATTTTTGCAAACTTTTACTTGCAGTCCCGACCATATACACATACATGCACACATGCATGCATACAAACATACATACAAGTATGCGTACATACACATACAAACGCCAAAAAACATACGCACCCACAAGCAAACACACACACATACATACATAAATACATACATACATACACACATACATACATACATACACACATACATACATACACACATACATACATACATCATACATACATACATACATACATACCTACATACATACATACATACATACTACATACATACATACATACATACATACATACATTCATACATACATACATACATACATACAGACACACATACATGCATCCGTACGTACATACACACATACATACATACATACTTTATCATACATACATACATACATACATACATACAATAGTACAAATACAATAATACAATACAATAAAATACAATACAACATATACAACACATACAACACATACATACATACATAACATAACATAACATAACAGTACAGTACAGTACAGTAGAGTACAGTACAGTACAATACAATACAGCACAATACAATACAATACAATACATCACTACAATACAAACGTACGTACGTACATACATACAGACGTACATGCATACATAGAGAAACACAAATAGATACACACATGCATGCACACACACACACTTGTCATGTTTTTTCCGAGCTGCACGTAACGTGTTTCGCACAGAATGCCATTGTTTGGCCCAAGGCTGACTGGTTTGGACGTTTTGGGTTGATTGATTCGGAATGCCACAGTGAGGAGATAGTCAAGAAGGTGTCCCCGTTTGCCTGCGAAGTCTTGGTTGGCTGTAACGGAATGGTGCACAACTTGATTGCCCCCTCACAAACGTAACACAGCGTAACTATGCATGAAGAACACTCCAGTGAGTGAGTGTCATCCGAGAAGTTATCCATTTATTTGGCTTCCACATGCTGCAGGAGCTGACAGATGTTCATGCTCAATATGCAACCATGCAGGCGATGGCACGACGTAGAGTTTTTTTTGCACACATCGCTCCACATAGAATCCGAAAAAAAACAAAAAACTACCTTTTCTCTATTTGCAGATGTGGCCGATGCCAGGTGGAGCTGAAAAAACGTGAAGATTTATTGCGAGGCTGGGGAGTTGGCGGTGACCCATCGCCGGTGACCGCTGCCAATTGCTTTTGGTCACAATACGACGCTGCTGAAGGTATTCCTTTGGTTTTGGCCGATTTCCTCGAACAGATCCACCTCCCAGATCCAGTGCTTGAGCTGAAAACTGATTCGATGGCGATGGAATCGCATCCATAATGCTGACCGGATTGAGCTGGGCCCTAACTAGGCAGCCCCCAAAATGGGAAGCAGCAAACTAGGACGACCAAACCCACTCATGAGAGGTCTCCTAATTCCAGGGTCTCCCAGTTCTGCTTACACTCCCACTTCGGTAGGACGTCTGGAACCCCGTGCTGTCCTGCCGTTCGACCGAGGCACTGTCGAGCAGCCACGTGAGGCCCGAGGAGGCGCCCAAGTTGCTCATCGCCTCGTTGCGACGGCTGCAGATGGCGGTGATGAAACGCCACTGGGTTTGGTTCGCTCCAACGATGGTCGAGGAGGGTGGAAGGCCGCGGTCGACTTCCGATAGGCCGGGGAGGCACCAGAAGGCCACGGACGATTCACGAATGACGAAATTGACAAATTAGATAGACATTACAAAGACATTGTTAATTATGCTATCAGCTCGGTTCTAGCCGGTCGTAACCACTGTGATAACAAAAGGACCCCATGATGCACGGCTGATTTTGTTTCGATTTGACCTTGTTGGGCATTGACACTGAGTGCACGCTGAGGTGATGAGGAGCTCAAAGTGGCCAGCGAGAAGATCACAGAGCTTTCCAAGTGTCGCGATGGCAAAGCCATGCAAAGCCCAAACGATCCAAATCCATTGCAAAGCCCAAGCATTCCCAAAGCATCATCGCTTCATTATTCATAGAATCAATCGTCCAGATGTCCAAGCCTCGATGCAGAATGTTGAATCTGTTGTAACGAATGTTTGTCGCATGTTTCTTCCTGCAACTAGGTATGCCACTATGTACGTCCTCGAGGTTGGGCTACACTGATTTGAATATGTTTGAATGGCAAGTTGGTGGCACGCTTATAGCCCAAGTCCAAAAATGGCAGTCGCAGTCGCAAGCACAGAGAAGCGGCAACAATTAACATACAAACCAACACTCGCTTGCTCGGGGAACATGGAGAGTCTTTTAGACTTTGACGCTGTCCGTGGTCTGAGACCGCCAGCTAGAACGTGGAGAGTCTTCAAATAGGAAAAACTACATTAATGTCAATAGGGATGAGGTCTCAGTATAGTCGCTATACAGGTACATGCCATATACTTTTGGCTCAAGTGCCCAACCAGGTAAAAAGGAGCTTTAGCGCGCGAGCTTCATGTTGAACTAAGGGCTAGAACGGGGCCAGGGCACACTTTTCATCCGTTCGCAGGTTATCAGCCGTATCCAGACTCCTTTGAGCTGGGTACGAGCTACGGCCTTACACAACACCATCTAAACGCACACGCATCGGATAGATCAGTTACCCTCAGTCACTGAAGATGGACCAATCCGACGCCAGCACTGCATCTTTTGGAGCAGCTGCCGCGGCCGCAGATCGGATGAGTGCATCCCACAACTCTAGTCCAGGTACGATCGAAGCGGAGACTCTGACAGTGGTGAGAGAAGTTGCGACAGGTAGAGCACGAAGTCGTTCCCCGTCAGCGCAATCGACACCACCGGGGGGGACACCGAGGTCAGGCCGTAGCCCTAGGGAGACAAGGAGGAGGACTGACACCGGAGCTGTGAGAGTGCTAGCATTGGAGGATGGGTCAACTGTACCAGTACCGTCGGACAGCGAAGCTGGAGATGGAGCAAGGGCAAGTACTGACAACCTACAGCTAGCACGGGCCGATGGAGACCTCAATGCGAAGTGTGCGCAACTACTTGCCGAAGTGCATATGTTGAACCACCAAAACGCATGGATGGTCGAATGTGAGCAGAGACAGAACCAGATCATACAACACGAGACCGAAGTCCACGAAGTAGTGATGGCACACCTCGAAGAATGTTACGTCGAAGGATATGGAAATCAACGAAGAATCAACCAACTTACCGAGTCCAGAGACTGTTTGCTCTCAGCAGCACACGACCTGCAATATCAGATGGACACTGATCGTGTGGCAATGCGGGATCGTCTCACCCAGTTAGGGGAGTACGCTGATCGCAACAGCGCGGAGATGGTTAGTCAAGTTGTGAACATCGGCACGGAAGAGATCCAGGCTATATCGGCCGAAAGAGATCGAGCCATAACCGAGGTCATGACTACAATCGCAGATGCTGAGAACGTCAAGGACCTGTGCAGGCAGGAGTTAGTTGGAATACAAAGGCAGAGTGCCAGGAACAAACACGAATATGCTGAAGAGATGAAAATGAAGGAAGCAATGTATGCAAGCAAGATCAAATGGTTGTCAGAAGAGAATGAGGAGCTCAACAACCGATCTAATAATCAGGACAATTTCATCATGACCATCAGGGAGCAATTGAAGAAGGCGAACGAGGAGTTGACACAGGCGAGGATTCAAGGATCCGATCGACCGTCTCAACCATCCAACGCCGAACTCAAGAAAGCCGAAGTCAAGGTGAATATGTTGGAAGAAGACATTCTACGTAAAGAGAGGATGCTGAAACGTCTTCAGGAAGAATTGATCGAATCAAGCGCAAGTGAAGCACAACTGAAGGTCGCACTGAAGTTGAAACCATCAGACATGGGATCAGAACCCAATGTGGAGAACGAGATGATGACCAAGCTTAGAGCGGAACTTGGACGTACCGAAAAGTCATTAAGGTCCGAGGAGAAAGAGGCAATGGAGTACTACGAAGGTATGATGCAGAACCAACAGGACATGATGGAATTCGAAGCGCATGCAGCACGGCTCAGAGATGAGAGGAATAAGTACCGGAGGAGGTACGAAGAGGAGCGCTTGAATGCTGAGAATACAGCCGCAACCGAACATGGTGCCGCCTCATCCTCTAGCTCGGGTGGCTCCAAGATATCTCGGAAGGAACACGAGAAGATCAACATCCCTGCATGGCCCAAGATACACGACCTGGAGGTTTGGAAATCCCAGGTTGTAGCGGCAGTCGTGACGGCATCGGGCGACGAAAGACAAGAAGACTGGATCCAGTGGCTCTCGGATGCCTTCAGATCACCGTATGACCCATTTCTGCTCGAGACATCAGGCGAAGCAAGATTCGCTAGCATAGACGCTAAGCTAGGTATCACCCTACATACGATCATCCACGCAGCAGGTGAGAGATCTCATGACGTACAACTGAAGGTGAGGCAGATGATGCAGAGACGTGCGAGAGGCACAACTCCTGGAATGGTCAAGGGACGAGAAATGTTAGCGTTGATCGTCGATAGCTTCCGGAGTGCCGACAACGTCGATGTGATGTATGCATCCAAGCACTTATTCGATCTAAAGTTCCCTGGGGATAATCAACTATCCAGATTCCTTGGACAGTGGGATGAGATCATATCAGGTATGGATGCGGATGACATGCTTCCTGACAAAGCACTCCGCAAACTGCTTTGGGACAAGATTACGGATTCCAAAGTTATGGCGTTAGACTTGTCCGTGTACGACAACATGTTGGATAAGGATCCGGATAAGACCTACCAGAAGTTACGAGAGATCATGGCGAAGTGGATACGGAAATCAATCGAGACCACAAACAAGAAAGAAAGGGAAAAAGCTTTTGGGAACCTCATGAAAGCCACACCAGCGGCGGAGAAGAAGGACCCTAAAGCGAAACCCAAGAATACCAAGGCCGATCCACCGAAGCATGACGCAGCTCCAGTACTTCCTCAGGCTAATCCGAAGGACCACAACAAGAAGGACAAGAAGCAGGATCGTGGAAGATCGACCACGAAGAGCCCAAAGGGGGATCGTGGCAGGTCAGCGACTCCAGCAGATACGTCCAAGATAGGATGCGCCTTCCACTTCCATGGGAAAAACGGATGTTCTAGAGGAGACAAATGCAAGTTTAGTCACCAAGAGAAGCACAAAAGTTCTGCTAAGAAGCCAGAAAGCCTCAAGGGTGACAGATCAAAGAGTCCTGGTGGCAGGAGCACTAGCCCTAAACCAATGAAGGATCAGGTCTGTTGGAATTGGCAGAAAGGATCGTGCAAGTTCGGGGACAAATGTCGACGTCAGCATCACGCTGCTCCTGCTACAAAACAAGAGGCTAAAGGCAAAGCCAAGCCCAAACCGGCTGCGCCAGCCTTCATGCTTTGCGGAGACATCGAGAGTGACGGCGAGGATGTGCAACCCGCACTTCCCAACGTACAACAAGGTAAACTGGCGCTTCGCTTTAAAGTCAGATTCGATGACCGGGCGAATGTGACCACGTTTACCTGCGATCCTGGTAACGAGCTAAATACCCGTCCCCTCAGGAAGAAGAAGGATGAGGTGCAGAAGGTGGATACCGAGCTCATTTCATCGTTGAGAGCCCTCAGAGTGAACAATATAGCTGCACGAGTAGCACATGCCAAAGGTAAGATGATGGAGCTATACTCTGCTGAACACATCGCCAAGGCATGGATACAAATCACTCAAGATGAAGGAATCGAGGTGAACGTCGACCTGTCTGACTTCAACACCAACGAGGTAGTAAGGAAGGATTCTGTCAACTACACGATACCAAGAGACACGATGTTCATGGCTGTGGAGAGGTATGATGGACCACCGATACGCTTCATCATGGACACGGGATGTGGACACGACTTGATCTCAAGAGAGAAAGTCAATGCCATGGGCCTTACCACCAAGGAAGGACCCAAATCCGTGAGCTTCATGACAGCGAATGGTGTAACTAGTACATCAGAGATGGTGGACATCAATGTGGACGAACTACCCATGATGTCCGAAGCACACGTGTTGGAGAGCACACCATCAGTCTTTTCCATCGGGAAACGGTGCATGGAACAAGGGTACTCATTCGTATGGCCGGCAAATCAATTGCCATACCTCATCGACCAGAACGCGAACAAGATTCCGCTATCGGTGCATGACAACATACCCTACATCAAGGTGAATGATGATGACGGGAGATGTTTACCAAGGCCAGACGGCTTGGCTACGATACTTCATCGCATACTGTCAGGTGTGGGGCATGAAGACGAGGCCACAGCAGGTCAGGAGACACAACAAGAGGAACCTCCGCCCAAGAAACCACGGAGACGGAGGAGAAAGAAGAAAGATAACCAGAGAGATCAGGATGGTGAATCTGGTATCAATCCAGCTGTTGCAGGCGTCGAAGGAGAACCAGAGGAACACGGTGATGACGGGTATTCTCCTGAAGAGGAATATGACGGGGGAGATCCGAGAATCGATCGTGGTCACGATGGTCAATCTGAAGATGCCGGAGGCGACGAGCATGGAGGTGATGCGGATTCTGAACGAGAGGAGAGTGACACTGGTGAAGATGAAGAGGGACTATTGGAAGTTGATGTGGTTGACGGGGAAGCCAGACTATCAAAACCAGGAGTGCTGAAGAACGAGGCGAGATCCATATTACACTTGATGACGCACCGATACAAGAACCCATACTGCAAGTCATGTGTGAGAGCAAAGATGAAGCACTACAAGACTAGCAAGGGAGCTTTCAAACGGAAATTGAAGGCATTCGGTGACCTTATCACTTTCGATCTCATGAACACTCAGAAGATGGCGAGAGATGGGATCATGCCGGATAAGGACGTATTGGTGATTCGAGATCGGTCCACTGGTGTGATATGGGGCTATCCTTTGAAAGCAAGCAATAGTGACGAAGTGGTGCAGGCGATGAAGCACTACATCGGTAAGAGAAAGGTCACCAACGCTTACTCGGATGATGCGCCACAATTTGAAGCAGCACTCAAGGAACTCCGGATTCCACTAGACCAGTCGCTTCCAGGACATCCCCAGAACAATTCACTCGCCGAAAGAAACAATCAGTTCATGATGCTTACCACATCGACATGCTTACTAGAAGCCGGACTACCACCATGTTTT